GTCGACCAGCACCCCCAGGCCCTTTCCCGCCGGGCAGCTCCCAGCCGCTCCTCCCCACGCCTGCAGCGGTGCCTGGGGTTGCTGTGCCCCCAGTGCAGGACCCGGCCCTGAGCCTTGCTGACCCTCACCCAGTGCCTGGGCCCATCGACCCAGCCTGGCCAGGGCCCTCTGCAGAGCCTCCCTGCCCCCCAGCAGATCAACGCTCCTGCCCAGCTTGGTGTCCCCTGCAACCAACGTTACGAGAGGAGACCTAATATTTCTGTTCCTAGACCCAGTCCCACCTGTGCTGACTGCTGTGCAAATGTACAGCAAGACTGGTCCCCGTCGGAGGGATCGTGGCTGCCGGCGGGGAGCTGGCAGGGCACCATCCCAGCTCCCCCGCCCACAGCATGGCAGACCAGGATCCCGCAGGCTGCTCGCTCCTCCAACTGAGAAACAGGCTCAGAGGAGTACTCGGACTCCTGTGGGAGCTCTGCGGTTGTACTGGGATGCCCCACGGCTCCGGCACAAGCCTGGGCAGGGGCGCACAGTCGTCCCCCACCAGCAGAGATCCCCGGGGGGTTGCAGCCCACAGTCGGAGCAGATGACCTCCTTCAAACCTACGTTACTCCATGCAAAGGGTCAGAAAACAGCCTCTACCTCATCTCTGCTCTGCAGGATCCTGTGCTTTCTGAGTTTTGCCAGCGTCATTTGTTAATAAATACTAGTGAAAACGGTGATGAGGAGGGAACTTTCTAAACCCCAGCCCAAAGCTCACCTGACCGCTCAGCCTGATGCTCAAGCAAAAACCAGCGGCGCTGGGGGAAGCCGCTGAGCCTGGGGCGTGCCAGGGACCACCCGCTCGCCCCGTTTTGGTTCTTACGTGGCAAAACTGAGTTTCATTCAGGTACTCTCACACTGACCCAGCTACTACTCCTCTGGCTAACAAATGTCTTTTGGAGAGGCAGCCAACCATGATACAACAGAGAAACCAGTAACGTGAGCATCTCACCTTGATCCCTGCTGAGAGCTCGTGCCTGTCTTCAGACACGGCATGTCTAGGTTGGCATTCCAGCCAGAATCCCTACCACTGAATATAAGCTTCTCCTAAATACACTCGCACGCAGTTGCCAACCTCTCTCCTCATCACCTCCTCGGCTCCCCCCACCAAAACCAGCTCTCGGCTCACCACTCCCTGCCGCTCCCACGGCTTCCCCGTACACCTTCCCCAGCGGTGCAGCAACTCCGACACACGTGAACACCGCAACTGGAAGCAACTCTTCTCCCACCAGCTTCACCAAGGCTACGTGCTAACTTCACAAGGCTAATCCTCTTCTCCAGAAAGCCACAGGGCCTCCCTGGAAGCTATCATTCAGTGTGATTTCCTACAGCAACCCCAAATTCTTTCCAAAGGCATTGCTCCCCAGGGTATACCCTTCCCTTCTTTATGTCTTTGCTCCTGGATGTGATTTCTGCACGCAAGCACTACGCAAGAACTGCACGCAAGTATATTTTATACAGGCCCAGCTGTAGCTGGCAGTATAAACAATATACCTGTCCTTCTCTCAATGTTCATCATCATCCTTCCTATCACTGCATCAAGAAAATTACCATTTTACACTTCTTTCCAGATGACTAAGAGCGTGTTGAGCAGCACTGAACACGCCGAAGCATTCCCACGTTCAGGAAGCTCTGGGGCAGCGAGGAGAGCTCTGCCACGTACCCGACCTTCAGCTCAGGCAGTACGCTCTTTTTAAAAACTCTATCAGAGCAGAATAGCAATGTTAAGCCAAGTGTCTAACAAAGTCTAGGCAGAGCTGCACTTTGGAAGCTCACCAAGGAACGAAGCCTTGGCAGGACTTATCTTTACAAAAGCTATACTGGTCTGGCATCTCCACTGCTCCGACTGAATTGATTCCATTGTTTAACAGTTTATCCACTATTTTTGCTTTATTTCTTTCTCGTGTTTACCCATCTATAGTTACGTGTCTTCCTCTACAGGCTCTTCTAGAAAGCTGGCACAAATGTAACACTATTCTAGCCTTTCATAAAGCTTACTGCGAAAAGTTTAGAAGGTAAAAATCAGTTGACAAGTCCTACCTAACTTTAAAAAAAAAGGGGTGGTGGTGGTATTGAATCTGGGTATAAGATGCATGGTCTTCATGTCATATTGCATCCTTTCTGCCTCTGTGAGCGAGCACCCACGAGCCCTCGAGCCCTTCCTATACCAGCCATCCTGTTTTCCCGACTCCCAGGCAGTTTCCGCCGCCACGGCGGGGCAGGGCGGCAGGTCAGCCTTCCCCAGACCGGCGCAGCGCAGCCGGCGAGGGGCGCGGGCCCCGAGGGGTGCGGTGGGGGCCGGCTGCTGCCGCAGGGTTACGGGAGCTGCCTAACCAGCAGCCTCCAGCTTCGCTGAGCCGGATCGAGATCTGACATACAAACCTCCAAACGGAAAACAACCATACCCCAAAGGATATTTGGAAACAAGGCAAGAGGCTCACCCCAGAAGGCAGATGAAGCCCTAACCAGCGGGGCTGTACTAAACCTGCCTGCGTCCCAGGGGAAAGCACCTGGGGCATTTTCCTTTGATAAAAGGTGTTGCTGCATGACTACAGCCGCTGACCCACAGCTCTGACAGTCTGCTAACAAATAAAGGTGCAGTGAGACTGTGGTTGTGTGTATTTGGAGATGAAACCTGTTCTCCTCCGAACGGAAAGATTTCATCCCTGGCTTGTTCTGTGCTGCCCCTTTGCTCAGAAACCCCCAAAATTCATTTAATGCTTTTCCCAACCACTTGCGTTTTGCACTCAGCCTACCTTTTGTTATTTGAAATGCAACAGCTGCCTAAAAATAGCCTTAGGAAGCAGATGTTACTATGCCATTTATTTTATTGCCTTTTTTTTTTTTTTTTAAATAATGAAGGCCATCTCTGTTTGGCAGGAACACACACCAGATCATCGGCCGCGTCTGACAGTTCCCGTCATTCCACCTCAGAACCAGTAGTTCGAGAAGCAGCTGAGGTGAAGGACGGGTTCATCCTGACCCACTGTTTCACTTCAGTCCCTTCCCTCCCACCCCGATCCCTGCTGCGCGGCAGGCAGAGCCACAGCCAGCCTCCGAGACCGCTGACCACCAGCTTCCATTAGCGCGACTGCTAAGGGACCAGTCCTTTTGGAGGTCTCAAAGCAGGATTCAGCCTT